AAGCAGGCACGGTTCTTCCCTCCGCAGGCTGTGGAGCAGCCGAAGAGACTAACAGAGACTCCATCTGCTGATGAACGAAGGCTAAGAGCTGTACCGGATAAGAGGAAAGTGCCGCAGCCTCCTACATCCGAAGGGAACTCCCTGGGTTTTCTCAAGTATCAAAACCACATTATTCTCTGCTAGTCCATGGAACTGTTACATCAAAATGCAACTTCAATCTTGTACCTTTCTCAGACCTTTTATTTCTAACTCATCCCCCCAAAACGACATGGTGCAGTGCAAAGCCTCTCATCTAGATAGACTGCAGAGGTGTAGTTCAGCCTCTGACACTTACGAGATGATCCCAAGGGAATAATTCACTTTGCTAGTTGCTGCCATATTTGGGGAATCTATGAAACGCATTCATCAAAATTGCCAAGTGATGGGGTCAGTCTGGTGACATAGTGGTTAAGTTTGCATGCTCTGCTCCAGTGGCCTGGGGTTCATAGGTTCGGATCCCAGGCACAGACCTACGCACTGCTCATCAAGCTATGCTGTGGGAGCATCCCACATAAAATAGAGGAAGATTTGCACAGATGTTAGCTCAGTCACAATCTTCCTCAAACAAAAAGAGGAAAACTGGCAATCAATGTTATATCAGGGCCAATCTTCCTCACCAAAAAAAAAAAAAAAAAAAATTGCCAAGTAACACAATGATTAGCAAAGTTCTCTAATTAATGACACTCACACAGTTGGACATCTCAGTAGGACTGCTCTTCACTGCTTTCTCAGCATTTCCATCAGAGGAGCTTGGGCCCACCACACTGGGAGAGAGGGTGCTCTCCTCTGACCTCGCATCACCCATTTGTGAATGGGCATACTCTCCCTCAACTGCTAACTACTTCTTTGTCCAAGTCCAGCCCTTTGAGCTGAATCCAAGGCCTTGGAGTGAGAAGTCCACACCTCATACCTTTTCATACCTCAACACTCTGCTCAGTTCCCTTCATGTAGGAACCGCTCAATAAATCTTTGTTGGTTGACCACAGTTGCATTTTAAACTAAAATGATAGAGAAGTGTGGTAAAGAGATAAATTGAATATAGGCTGGGGGATATTTTAGTTTTGTTTTCATTCATTTCATCAGTTCAGTAAACATTTGAAAGCACACAGTGCTCACGGCGTTACAAGCCATGATCGTTGTTTTCCAAGAGCTTACTGCTCGCCAATCCCCACGGAGAAAGAAGACAGAGAGCTAAGCAACATTGCAAGACAGGAGCTAAGCCGAAATGAGTGGAGGGGATATTAAGCACCAGCGAGGAATTAGGAGGACACAGAATTTAAGAGGGAACCTTGGTGTGCAAAGTCAAGGAGCAAAGTCCCAAGCCAGCATCCCAGCTCTGGCCCCTGCTACTTGTGTGACTTTAGTTAAATTTCCCTCTCTGGGCCTCAGCTTTCTCATCTACACAATGGGGATAATTAAGTCTATTTCAGAGTTGTTGTGATGATTAAATGTTACTATGTATACAAAATGTTTAACTCGGTAACTGACCAATAATTGATAGTAGTATTCATCTTATAAACATTATTTTTACTAGTGCCTCATAATCTGGCTTCAAAACTTCCTAGCTGTGCAATCTTAATCAAATGATGTAAACTCTTCATGCCTCAGTTTCCTCATCTGTAGAATGAGGATAATAATGGCACCTCCATCACAAGGTTTTTATTGGGGTTAAATGGTAATGCTATGAGGTTGGATGATGGGTGAGATATATGAAACACTTAGAACACTCCCTAACATATAGTGAGCACTCAATACACCCTGGTTAATATTACTATTACTGCACATTCTGTTTTATGTAACCTCATCCTTTTAAAAGAATATGCATAGAGACTATCAGCAGGAGGGCAGAAAGAGTGGGAGAATGCAAATTGTTTGCAATTCTTTTCAGGCTGTCAACGCCATGTTAGGGGAAAGGTTCCCCAATACCTCTGCAAGGATTGTTAGTGCTAATTGGATGAAATAAAACCTTAAAAAACAGTTGCCTCACATTAGAATCTGCCACTGAAAAAGCATTCATTCTTTGGGGACTGGAAAAGATTCTCAAAAATGAAACTGGTGGAGAACAAAGCAGAATAAAATGAAATTAGAGCAAAAAGTCCTCTGCTGGTTGAAAAGAAAACTACAAGCGTCATGCCCATCATCACCCACAGCGATGCGGACAGGGTGGCTCTCCAGGGTAGGGCAGAGGCGCTCAGGGCCTCTCTAGTTGTAGTTCTGTGTAGCTTGGTCAGTTGCTGAACAAAAAAATGAAGGAAGGAAGAAGGGAAGGAGGAACAGAGAGAGGGAGGGAATAAAAAGGAAAGAAGAGACCCACATACACACAATAAAAAGCAAAAACAAAATGACCCAGAGCTCTGAACTACTAGATTGTTGCAACCTGGAATCAGGTTATGTGCAAATTTATCACTTTTCATGCAAACAAAATGCATTCTGGAATTCCTACTTGCTTCTTTGCACACCGAATTACAAAGTGCAGAGCTTGTATTTGAGAGTTCAAGGGCTTCCACTCCACAAAAGTCCACCCCAACATGGCGGCACTTCCTTCTTCCAGTACATTAGAGCCTGAGAAGAATGAGGGTCGTCCTGCAGAGACATGAGCAGCCTCTGTGCAGGCTGCCTCATGCACCTGCTGCCCAATTCACATCCTAAATCAGGCCCACGGCCAACAGGTTGATGTCAAGCAGATTCTAGCTCCTCTAATCCCTGCCCTAGAGGGGTCCATCCACTAGGAGGGTTTTCCTCCTGCATATCAGGAGGAAATTCAGCCCCAGGGACTGGCACAGAAAGTCAGGAGGGGTTCCAGGAGGACCTTTTTATGACATGGCTGGGTTGGGTGTAGAGAGGTGTCCCACCATATCCCACTTCCTCCCGTCTACACCCAAACAAGACCAGTGAGTCTAGAGCACATGTGAAAATGCAAACAAACATTAGTGCCTGAAAAAGACAAGGAGAGTGACCCTAGTCTTAGAAAGAAAGAGGTGCGGAAGGAAGGACAAAGAAAGAGAAGCCAGCTAGGGCATGACAGTGTGACTAAAAGGAAAGCTGCTCCTAACCCAGGCCCATCCCCTGGCTGAGCATCTGCTAAATTCAGCTACTGTCTAAAGAGCCCTGATTCTCATGAGCCTGGGGGCTGCCTTCTGGAGACTAGATCCTGGCCGTCCAACCCCCCTCACTGCTCCTATCACATGGGAGCACCTTCTGTCAGGGCCCCTCTGCTATTTCTTTATCTCCAAATCTCTACAGCGCTGACTACCTTCCTCCCTCCTTTTGAAAATACCAACCCATTTGTTTCTAAAACGTTCTCCATGCGAGAATGTCCAGTTTATCTCTTGGAGGCTTCTCCTTGCAGCCAAAGGTTAGGGACAAAAGGGACATCCAGACAACCTTAAAAGCCATCCACTATATTGCTTTAGAGGTTTGTTTTTGTTTTTCTCTTTAAAAGTCTGAAATTATGGCATACTCGGAACTCCTGTGAAATCCCTTTTTGAAGCAGATACCTAGTTATTTCAGGTTGGGAGGCAGTTAGATGTTCAACCTTTGTTCAAAATAGTCCCTAAAGGGCTCAGTGGAAGAGGTGCATTTCCTGAACCAATGAGTAACTACTAGTTCACCAGAGCCATGGGGGTTAGCTCCCCAAAGACAAAGAAGCATGGGATGCTTGCAGGCCTTGCAAGCGTCCTTAAATCACACACTTCCTTTGGTAATCTCCTGACAAGTCGGCTCTGTGTTGCCAGCGCCCCCTCCTCAACATTTTCTATCCAGTGGGTACTGCCTTAAGTGTACCATCCACAAAGAATCTGATCTTAGAAGAACAGTCACCAGGGCGAAAAACAGTGGGCACCAGCTCCGAGGCTATCTTTCCAAGAATCTTCCTGTGCAAAGAACGGGAATATTGCCATGCTGCCTTGCAGTTAGCTCAACGACCTAGTTTGGAAAACTTTATTTAAGAGGGCATATGCAATCAAAGAGAGGCAGGGAAATCATCCTTCCCATGAACCTTCTTAACGTCTACTTCATGCTGAGTCTCTCATAACATTCCAGAGAGTAAGATTTCCCACTGCAGCCGCTAATTCTGTGTTGCTCTCCTGTGAGCGGCTCAGTGCGCAGACACAGGAAATCGAGTTAGCGTTTCAGCAGGCAGGGCAATCAGGGAGACAGACTCTTCCTGCCTCAGGAAAACATGACCAAAAGTCTTCTCCTCCAGCGCCTGTAAGCCTCAAGCCCAGAAGCCAATTGGGACCGAACCCAACCCTGACAGCTCGTTTCTGCTGGGTAGACAAGTTCTGCAAGTGTTGCTTTGGTGGACAGCACCCAGAGAGCACAGCTAACCAGAGTAAATTGATATTCCAAGGACAAATCAGACTCACCTCCCTGACATCAATCTCAGAAAGCCATGTTCCGACAGAAGAAAGCATATCCCTCTGCCCACTAGCTCATGGCATGAAGGCGCTCAGGAAAGCCCGGGTACCCTCAGGCCCAGGACAAAAGAGCAGCCCTACCAGAGTAGAGGAGCCAGGCAGGCGACTCCCCATGGCATGGGCAGAGTGAGGGCGTTCACAGGAAGCCAGACCCGCCCTTTGGGACTCATTAACTTCAGAGAAGACTGTTGACGCTGAGCCCCAGCCAGGCCACTAGTCACCATGGCCACTAGGTCCCAGCAAAGACAGTGCCCAGGCCACTGTCCTCAATCTCAGCAGCTTCCTGCCCAGACACCCCTCATGCTTACCAAGTCCTGAGCCAAGGAGGCCAGTTTTGGGAAAACGGCTGATGTCTAGCACCTCTGAGCATTTCCCTATGACCACCAAATTCCCGGGTCGCAGCACCCAGCTCGTCCATGAATTGTGCAGCCCAGAGACCTCCGTGCCAGCGGCTCCCATCACACACACCTGCACCCCTGCCCCTCTCCTCCCACACCCCCAGACAAATCATTGATAATTCACACAAGAATGGCAGCTCCCTACCTGAGGGTGGCGCTCTCCCCCTGCCGGACCGTCACGTTGTCCATAGCTTTGGGGAAAGTGGCATCTCCGCTGCGCACCGGCACTCCTGTGGGTACAAGGAACAGCAGCCTGAGAGACACGACCACGAGGCACTTCCACGGCAGGAACAGGTACCCACAGACCCCCATCCTCGACAGCCACAACTTCCCAGAACTCCGGCAGCGGCACGGCACACGCCCCCCGGGCGAGCACAGGAAGTGGGTGGGGTGAGAGAGCGAGCACAGGGACGGAGCAGTGAACTAGCCGCGACCAAGAGGCGCGGGGAGGAGAAAAGCGCGCAGACTCCTCCAAGTCTAATATTCCTCCCCCAGATCCAGCCTCAGTGCTCCAGCCTCGGAGAACCAGTTTCCACGGAGGACATCCGAAGGGGGGCTTCCTCTGTGCTGCTTCGGCCGAGGAAGGTGGCCGAGAACGGGAAAGCGCAAGGCAGGTGCAAAGGTGTGGGCACGGCTCAGGAGCCCCTTCTTCCCGTTAACAGTTCAGACATGGCACTTTGGAGTGGAGTAAGCACTTTGGTACCAGAAGGGGACAGGGGTTGGGTTAGATCCGGCTACCCAGAGGTGGTCTGCAATTCCTCTGTTCGAACAAGGGGAAATCCAACACTTTCTCTGTAAGTTTCGGAGGAAGGATTGCCAGCAGAGAATAATCTGTAACAATAGCGGAGATGGAAAGTAGAGCACGCAGGAGGCGGCAGGGGGTGTGCGAGGAGGAGAAGGCTGCGCCGGGCTTCGTGCGATCCGGACCGGCGATGCTGCCGCAGCCGCCTCGGTCAACTTCCTCGGAGCCGAACTGGGCGCCGCAGCCGCTGCGATGCGCCGGCCTCGGCGGGAGCAGTCGCCGCGGCGGCGGCCGGGCAGGAGCGGACCGTGGCGGCCCCCGCTCTTGCGCTCGCTCGCTCGCTGGGGAAGGCGAGGCGCAGCCAGCACCGGAGCCGCGCGGACGCCACGCTCAGCGGCCGCCCCCGGCCTCCGCGCCGCCTTCCTCCCGGGAGCAGCCCCGCCGCGCGCGGGCCCCGACCGCCGGGGTTGTCATGGCAGCGGCTCCATCACTGACCGCCACTTTCTCCGGTGCCGGCGCGAGCGGGCGGGCCGACTGCGCGCTCATCCCGACGGGCGGGCGGGCGGGCGGGCGCGGAGCGAGGGCGCCCACCTTAACCCCCGCCGCGCCGCGCCGCGCCGTGCCGCAAACGGCGGTGCGGGCGCCAAGGCCACGAGTTTAACCATTTCCCCCTTAAAGAGCTGTCACTTCCAAATTGAGAAGAAAGGCAAAGTTACCACCCAGTCTTCATAAGCCCGAGACATCTTAATAAGGGTCACAAACTAATTAACTAGGACAGGAAAAGCCTGCAGCATGCATACATGCACCTTTAAAATTATCAGATTAATTCCGTTAGCATTTGGGGTAATTTTAGAGTGTGGGGAGGAGGTTTTAGAATAACCTCATTTTTATTCAATAGTTGACGCCCACCCGACAGCCCCCCCAAAAGCTACTTTCAAACGCCAGAGACTCAACACCACTATTCTAAGCAGAGAGCTTCCATATATAAAACAACGCAACATCAAAGAAGCCTCTTCGTGTGCGAAACTGGCAAAATAGCATCAAAATTTTGGTCAAGTTCCGACACTGACTTACATTCTTCATTCTTGTTTTGTCGACATTAAAAGACGCTAGCCTGCAAAGTGCCCCCTCAGACGACCCGAGTGCGAGCCCCTTGCTTTATTTATACAGCTGACTCCCAAGTTCCCTGGCTTCACACTCTTGCAGAGCTGGTTTCATTTTAAGAAGTGTTTTTTCAAATTCTTGAAACCCAGGATAAACTGGATTTGCCTCAGTTCCTGTCACTTCTCCTCTCTGGCTGTTGTGGGTTCCCCTGTACCCACATTTTTATTTCTCCCTTAACTTCGACTGTGACAGAGTGGAATGCTTGCTCCCTCCTGGGCCTGGGTCCTGAGGAGGGGGAAGCCCAGGGCAGCCCAGCCTACACAGGACCGCTAACCCTGAGTACTCTCTCCTGAGGGACGTCCACATCAGAGCTCCCTGCATGGAGCAAGTTCTCCCTGGGGGTGGAGAGGAAGCAACAGTGGCTCTGTTGTTTCTGCTCGACTTTCGATCATATCCAACCAGGAAGCTTTTTTTTTTTTTAAACAACTGTTAAATAACAGAAAATTCTTCCCCAAAACTATCCTGCCAACACCAAAGAGACTGTGTCCTTATAACTATTAAGAGTCCTGGTGTCATAAAAGTCCTTGTGCCTTGCAAGTAATAACCATCACTTACATGTGGCTGACACGCGTGTTAGGGATGACACAAACTTTTCACTCGTCATATCCCCCTCACTCTAATTACTTTAGGTCTCTAGAGGTGAAGGTAGGGTTTACAGATGTGAAAGCCAAACTCCAGGGTGACGAAGAAAGCCTGAGCAGGCTTACCTTTCTCTTTTAACAGTTGACTAGAAAGTGGTCGACCGTGAAAAGTTGAGCAACTTTGCACTGAAGAGCTCAATTAATCCATCATTAGGCCCATTCTTCTCTCGTCTCCTCTGGTGACTTTTCCTGATATTAAATTCTCCGGGAAACCCATCTGCTACTTTTGGCCAGTGGGGACCTTTTGATATATAGCACCAAAAAAATCGATTGTCAACTTATGGCCACAAAAAACGACTTTACTATCAGGAAAAAATATGATGTCTATGGAGAACAGGAGACTTTTGTTTATATTTTTGGAAGAAAAGGAGAAAGATTAACCTGTTTTAGCACCAGTCCATTCTTGCAAGACCCTATTTTATCTCCGTTTTACAATGAGAAATTGTGAAAATGGGAAGTTGAATGATATCACCAAGTTAAGATGTTGTATGACAGCAGTCGCCTGGCGTGAGGTTACGTGTGCTTTCAGTCTGCTGAATTTGGCATTCTTCTTCCCCCAAAGCCAAGGAATTATCTCTAATCATCCACCTGTCCATTTTAACCATCCTTCATGCTCCCCCACCAACCCCTCTTCCTAAACCCATCCTCACCACCTCAAGTGGAAACAAAGGCCAGTCATGGGGGGAAGGGACTCATCCTGAGCTTTGGAGTCATTTCCCTATGGGCTTGAAAATGTCAGTGATGATTCCTTTCAGAATAAATTCTAAGCCTGGCTCTTGCATCTAATTCCCAGGTAGGTACAAATGAGCATTAGTTTTTGCATCTAGGAATGTGGATAATGCAACAGCAGGCCTTCCCGAGGGGCCTACAGACATGATTAACTCTACAGTAAAATACTTAGAAATCCATTTAAGGTGGAAGATGCTTTATTAATACATTTTGCCTGCCACTGCTTCATTATGATGGCTGGGCAGAAAAATAATTCTTTTTATGGGCCCTTTAAGATGCTCCGTTTGTAGTAGTCTGCGTGCAGTTGATCTAAAACAGTCAACCCACCTTTGTCTCTGGCCGAGGGGACAGCGCTGCGCTGCAGCATCCTGGCCAGGAGCGGCCGGCAGAAAACCCCGCCGAGTTCAGGCAGTGCTCAGGGTGGACAAAGAAAAGCCACCCACAACCTCGTGCCTTCTTTGTGGACCCAGGGATCCAAACTTTATTCAAAAATGGAAGTTTAGAAAGTGGGGAAAGGTCAGAGATGCCTGCTCAATTAACAAAGTGGAATCCATTTTATTCAAACTCCTTATTGAAGTGGTTTAAATAATGAAGATCAAAATCATATGTCAACTCCCTTCCCATCTCCTAATCCCTAAATATAACCAGCACTTAGTGGCTTATCTTCTAACCTGTCTCTTGCTGCATAAAAACTGCTGGATTTATTTTATTTTTCCCAGCGTATCCGAGTTAATGAAAAAGGGATGACAGTCAGAGCAATTTCATTATTTGTGTTCTTTATAGAAACAACTTCCTTTCTGCCTCCTGGAAAGCAGATTCCTAACGAGCGCCCACCTCCACCTTCTTCCCCCATCTCCCTCTCCTTCCTTCCTTCCCTCTTGCGTACACATATACCGTACACATAAATCAACTTGTCACAGCTTGTCTCTGTGCTGACAGCTGTAATTGCTTCAGGTTATAAAAATATCTATAGGACAATGCCTTTCAAGCTCACAGACACGCACGCGCACACACACACACACGCACCCACACACATATTCTGCCTAAGCAAAAGAAAACAATCATATCCCCTTTAATAATCCAATGACTACAGAGGATGGGGAGAGAAGGGGTTCCCTGTGCAGACTCCAGAGGGCTGGCGGGCAGGTGAGGAGATGGGAGACAGAGACTTCTGGCAGTGTAGCATCTACACACTAAAGCAGGGTTGGAACAGGGAAGAATTCCCACTGAAAGGGAAGTCAGCTGTTGTTTGCTTTTACTCTCTGTTACCTACAGCAAGCCAGGTTAGCTAAAGAGCCATGACTTTTCCACACACACAAGAGACCAAGAGAAGAGCACTAGCTTGAGAAATGCCAGTTCTGCTTCCTCTTTTCTAAAAAGGCTAAAGGCCCCCCTCTCCTGGTGGAGATTCCAAATAGGAGCACAGGCAAGAAGATGAGAAATGCAAGGCAGTTAGAGTGGCATGGCACCACATAGATATTGGAAAGTTTAATCAGAAATGGCAGTGTCCATCTGGATAAAGAGATGCCTCCAGGAGAGTGAGGAAGGGCTGGACTCTGGAAAAATACGTGCTATTTTTGTCTCCTATATGAATATAGGATCAAAATAAAACCATTGTTCATCTGGGCTAGAGTACAGCACGTTAGGATTTCAGCCTGAAGAGCAAAAAAGCAACTTGAAGACAGAGAAGAAGCCTCCAGGGAGGAAAAAGAGGTCACCAATAGAGAGAATCAAGAAGGAGGGTAGGGAGAAATGGCAAAGGTTAGGCTACTATGGACTTTGAAAGTCATAAATCTTTATCAGAAATGCATAAAGCAGAGAGATGGTCGGTAGAACAGTTGGTAGGTAGACAGAAAAGTAAGAAGGAATGATCGAAATCAAAGAACCAAAGGAGCCAAAGTCAGACACCCAAAGGGGAGCATCCCAAGAGCCAGGGGTCTGTAGGGCGGGGTCT